ACCTCTTCGCATTCTCAATATCGCGCGAGAAAGCAATCCTAGGAAACCAATCCTAGGAATATATCAGCCTTTCCGCGCTCCATTCCGCAGCTTTCAGGGTCACTCCACGTTTTCCTTTATCTTCAGACGGTCTCCTGCTGAATGAAGTAAGGCTCTTTAACGAAACATGCTTGTACTTCTAATTGAACTGCGATCGGGCAGCGAAGTTCAATGTGCACCAATTCAGAGAACCCTTCATTCTCCTTTCTGTCCGTGAACGTCCTCTGCCTTGTGTAACCCCTCCGTCAGACGTCGCTGCTACAACTCCAAGCCCCCCCCCCCTCCGCCTCTGTTCAGGGTGGTCGCCTCTGTAACAATAAGATCTCCGTTCGCGCCGCCCGCGCCGCCGCTTCCCAGTCTTCCGTGTAACCCGCCGTCCGCCATGCTGGCTGCGCCGTTACCGCTCGACCGCCGCCGGGGCCGGAGGATGGCGAAGGCTCGTCCGCCCGCCCGCCACGGAAGGTCGCGCCTGCGCCGCACCACTGGGCCCAAATGAGCCATGAAGCATTTTTGCGTTCGTAGGCTTCCGTGGCCGGAGTCAATACATTCTTGGCTATCCGAATGAGCGCGTCTCGGTCAATTGGGCTGACGGTTCGGTCAATTGGTTGACTCCCGAATAGCCAAGAAAGCATAAGCATTTTTGCGTTCGTAGGCTTCCGTGGCCGGAGTCAATACATTCTGGCTATCCGAATGAGCCGCGTCTCGGTCAATTGGCTGACGGTTCGGTCATTCGGTTTGACTCCCGAATAGCCAAGAAAGCATAAGCATTTTTGTCGTTGCTTGTGCAGTGCGCCAGGAAAGTATCACCGCATCGAGTCGAATCAGGGTCTCAAAGCATTGAATTTATGTTGGTAGCAACCAGATCACTAGGAAGCAATCAAAAGTGATAACATATCCAGCATCTGTTAAGATTGTGGTGAGTACGCAGTGTACGTTTTCTTTCGTTGCGACCTGCAGGTCGTTCAAGCAACATAATTTCTGTTGCAAGTACTCTCACCGACAGGTTGCCACTGTGGAGAGCCTTTCATGGCGGACTATACCTTCTTTCATTATTATTATTATTATTATTATTATTATTATTATTATTATTGCCTTCGGAATACCATGAAGGGAAATGTCTTCTGTGAAACATGGATAAGAGTAGGATTTCCCAATATTGTAGTATAGAATATTCAACAGTAGGTCCGAATATCTTTCATAAAATACAAAATAAGCGAAAATATTAAACAAAATTTTCAAAATGCTCAAAATTATGCAAAACTCTTGAAGACTGAAATGTGCGAGGTTTACACATTTTAAATTTTGGAAGAACACAATCCGTTTCAACTGTGAAGAGTTCAAAATGTTTCTGAAAATGTAAAGGAAATATGTATTTGTGTGATATGTACATGTATTTTGAAGGTAACTCTGAGAAAAGATCCTTCTACACCTTAACTTACAAAAGTAATGCACAAACTATAATTATAATTGCTGGCTTCGCTTAACATGTTTTGTTGAAGAATCTTCGAATCTTTTCAGTAGATCAATTACAACGCACACGGTAAAATAATGAAGAAATGACAACAGATAAACGAACATTCTATTAATTTTATGATTTTAATCAAATTTAGTGTTTGTACTACGAGAGTCTGTATTTGGTCAGGTAGAATACTCGAAGTTCTTTTTAAACAAAAACCCTTAGTGTTTTAAGCGTAAATTTTTTTTACAATATTCTAAATGTCAAACGTTTGAATCAAAATCGCAACTGTCCCATTCTTACAAATCCACGTTCGTGTATAAGAGAAAAAAAAGCAAATTTAGCTATTTTCAGAAAAGTTTGAAAATGTTACAGGCGCTTCATGTAAAGTACCCCCCCCCAATTAAGGTATCTTAATGATTTCGGAAGTAGCATAATAGATTTCACTACGTATTTGCCAAGTTTCAGCTCAGAAGCACCTAACCCCTGAGTAATGCGTCACATCCATCCAGGCATTCATACCGATATTCGGATACAAAATTGCATGTATTTCCTCACCACCTACGTAAGTTTTAACCATTTTCGAACAGCACCAATATATCATAATTCCGATGTGTGTGCAGAGTGACACCTAAAAAGAACCGTAAACAACATTCTCTCTTTTACCTAATTCACTTTCACGAAGGCGTAAGTGTTTTCTTTTCTTCTTCTTTTAGATGATGATTACTTTGCAACATTAATGTGTTAATAATAAGTGAAGAAAAACTGCGATATGTCCGGAAAATACGTATAAGAGAGAGCTCCTTCTTTCAAAATGTACTCACTACAAACTGATCTACACTATACTACAAAAAGAAACTACTAGGAGGAGAGTTTTCGAAATATGGCACTTCAGAACATATAATAAGTACTGAAAGTTAAAAAAAATATTGAATACTCCACTGTAATTAGTTTGTAGTGTTTGATTTTTATTCTTACGTATTACCCCCAACTGATTTCCGTTTGAAAGTAGTGCTTCACAACGTTAGAAAATGGGTCGTGTACATTTGGCTTAATTTCGTCCCACTGTCCTCCGCGACGGTGATGCTTCTTAATCCCTCTTTCTTATTCCAGGGCCTTCGAAGCAAGATTAACTCACTGTAGTTCCTTGTATTCCTCCGATGAAGAATCACTCCCAAGAGACGTTGTAAGAATGTAAATGCCCTTGAGCTTACTTGACCTCGCGAGTGAAGGTGCTTGGGTTGTTACATGACTAGTGCTTGATGATGTTCTTCGATTCAAATGGAAATGGGTACCCTAACTGCAGGAAACTGCATGAACAATAATAAAGGTTTTACGTAGTAATTTGATAGTAATCTCGTACTTCAGTTCCAGTTCAAGCATTTACACTTACAAACGCTGAAGGGAGGATTAGATATAACGAATATCCATTTCTTGTTCGATTCCCGATTCATTTTGAAGCTATTTTGGAATTTTGAGAATAACAAATGCCAATAGAAACTCGTGCGATTAAATCACACGGGGAGTTTAAAGGCGAATTAAATTGTATTTTCCTACGTATTTATTTATCATATTCATCGATTCAGACAGGCAACGGAATAAATTCTGCCTATATTGCATACCCGACCTGGCTTGTTCTGCTTTATGCTGAATTGCCCTCACCCTGCTTTTTTCAACACACTTCGCACTGTGCTGTCTCGCTTAACCCCGCTCCTGCCCCCGTTTCCATACCATGTATACTACGATCCCGGTTGCTATCATCCTGTAAATTATATACCAGTTACAATCCAGAAGGGAAGTGGAAATATACTTTGAAAAACGCAAATGCGACGGAATTAAATCTCATATTTAATTAACCATCCGATTATAAGACATAAAGTTATTCTTCCTTTGGAGTTCTGACGATGGACTGAAGTGCTAGAGAATTGATTCATTATTCAATTGTCTAGTGCCGTTGCCTGGGATGGAAATAAATTATCACTTTTCTTCCACAGCTCCTCTAGGTGAGATAAAAGAACGTAATATCCTCCACTCACCTAGACATAGTGTTTCAGGGATTCCTCCCCCCAGCATCTCCCCCACCGAGGCCCTCCCCCAACCCGGATAACCTCTTCGTAAGCTCCCTACTTGTGACGTAGTCTAGTGCATATAAGTGTACGTGTGTGTAAAGGGACGGGATATGAAAGAAAAGATCGCGCGCGTCCGTGGCGCATTTATTAAAGCACTGCTCCGGCATTCGCCTGGTACTGATTAGAGAAAACTGAACTGATCAGAGCAGCTCACCGTTAGAATTCTTCTCCCTAAAGCAGCTGACCTAGTTACATGTGTGTAAAAACCGTTACCGCAGGGACTTGAACCCTTGGAACTGAGAATTGCTGCAAAAGCAATGATATTGCTGTGCGTTTCTACTCTTTCCTAGCGTCCTTTTCATTTTTCTTTCGCCATCGTTCACAGCACAAACCTAACGCAGATTCTAATGACGTAAGTGAAGGCGAGAGTAACAGTACACTTCGCAGGCAGTGGCGGAAGGAAAAGTCGCACCCCCCGAACCTCCTCATCCGTCTCGTGTCCAAACAACGCTACCACAATAATGAGCAGAGGCATCGGTTTCTCTGTTGGTTCCACTACAAGTTTTACAGGGGAGTCAAAATGAATCGATACGGTTGATGGTCAATCTGTATCCGTTTCGGGGAAATGTGTGACTGGTGGAAGTTCTGAGTTCTAGGAAATACAGGGAGCAGCACTATTTTTGTCGTCTTTTTCTACATACTAGGAGAAAATATTTAGGGCGGTTTTTGAAAATTTCAATCTCACATGGCATAGCGATTGGGGAGTATTAATTTTGGGGAATCTCGTCTCAACGGTTTAGGCGCTAATGTTGATCGTCGCCATTGCGTATAAAATAAAATTCCCAATCAGTCATCTGAACCGCTAATTTTGTATTGGCAGGTGTCTTGGTATTTCGAAATACAGCTGTATGTATTACATTTAATATGAATTATGTTTCACTTCACTGTCCTTTTTAATTATATCATCACTGTACGTTATATGTTTATTTACAACCTATGTAAAAGTGTGCTGAAACGTTATTAACAAATAGTCAAACTGTTATTGTTCTTTGAAATGAATGAACAGTTTGAAATACATGAAAGCATATTTTGTGATCATAATCGATTTTTTACAAAGTCAGCTGTACCTTGCTGAGCAAGATCAATCATCAAGAAGAGCAAAAAACCAAGGGAGTATCTTCAAGAAATGCATTAACCATAATATTTTGGTCATACATCTTTCTCTGCAGCTGGAGAAAGATAATAAGCTTGGAAAGTCAACTTCAATCGTTAACTTTAGAATAGAAAACTTAAAATTTATCGCTAGTTATATTGAATTCGGCTGTAAATTCCCCGTGCAAATTAATCCCTTTAGTTCACATCAGTAATAATTGTTTTTATCTGCATTTTTTAATTCCCTTCAAAATGCTCAAAGAAGAATTTTCTTTCTTTTTCAGGTGAGTTCCTAGTTCTGCAATCCCTGATCCTTCCTGGTGAAGTTAGACTACTGAACGAGTGGTGAGTAATTTCAAAACTCGTGATGCTACAACAGCACACACTTTCTGGTGTTAGCGACACATTTAGGTCAATGCTGATGCCGTCAAACGAAAGTATTTTGTTTTCTTTGTTGCATACATAGATTTATCTGAACACTGGAGCATCGTGTTACTGTTAGCTGTAACTTTTAGCACGCTCTACCTACTCGGAAAGCAACAGTAGTGGCAGTCTAAAAGTAAAGTAGTTTTTCAAATAATATAATGTATTAACGTGCTATTATGCTGTGATTGCATAGGGAACTAATTTTTTTTATGGTGACCAACGCACAGACTTAATTGTGGCGTGTTGGAAACTTCAGTGCATGTTGTTATTGATTCTTTGATTTTGTGTGGTTTCTGTAGTTTCATAAAAAAATACCCTAAAAGCTTTCAAGTGTTACGTCGAATCCGCGTTAGCGACAATCGTGAAAGCCTCTGACTTGAACGGAGAAAATTTAATTCACTGGACCCGAATGTTACAAAAACAATGCATTCGGTAATATGGATGAAATTTCTAGAACACAAGTTAACCGAGAAATTGCTGAATGGTAGAATTGTGCTCACAATTTTTTAATCAATTCTCCATTTTCCACAAAATACTCGCGTAATGAGTGTCTTTTACAGGAAAATTTAATTGTTCTTGGAATTTATGTTAAATTGACTTCTTGCTTTTCTGCCTCCCTTTCCTGCATTGAATTTTGGTCACGCTTTGATTATGAATTCATGGAATTTCACAAAGCATCTTTCTGGAGAGGACCTAGTTTTTTTTTTTTTTAATTTTGTTGTTCCTCACTTTTTGTCCGAAAGAGCACGTAATCCTTATTCATCACGTCCTACAGTTATGAAATCCTGCTCTTGTCGCTAAATTCTCAGTATTTTCCTTTTCCTCTTTGAATACGAAATTTTCATTGCGAAAATTCCTTTAGAGAAATAAATTTCTCGCTCCTGAAGATTATGCATTGTCTTGAGGTGTAAACTGACATTTTGAAAAAATGAAATTGTAAAAACAGTACTTAGTGGAATTGGCAGTAAAATCTTCGGTAATATAACGTTAAAAATTTACAAAATAATTGAAATTGTGTTTTATTATTGGTAGAATCAAGACATACTTTAACATTTCACCTAGAAATAAGAATTATGTTAATTTCAGTCTCGGAATCTGCGTTACAAATAATAGCACAAAAAATGTATCAATCACGTTGAAACTGTATTCACAGATTTTGTTGAAAATAATATGTTTATTATTTCCGAGGAATATTTTTAACTCGGAATAATAATGTGAAATGTCTTTAAACTAAACATATCCTCCTCAAGAAAAGTATCGTCAATGCATTAGTCTTCATGATTTTTATTAAAACGGATTTTCAGTCCGCCCGTCCATCAGTCAATAAACATCGGGGCCTGAACTGTACAGAGAATGTTCCAACCCACCGGGACATGAAATTTAATATTGCTGATATATCTGGCCGATGCCGCAACCTGTCGAATTTGAAATGGATATTTTAAAATTAGGGGATACTGTACTTGAAGCCCCAACGACATTTTTGTAATTTTCTCAAAAAATAGCTGCAACATTTTTCTTTCATTTGTTTCATTGAAGTGAGCAATGTGTGCTTATAAAAATGGCGCGTATCCTATTTTCTTCCACCGAGTACACTTTTGAAGATTACTTTTTTTAAAGAAAATCTGTTCCTCAAAATTAAATATTTAAATAACATCAGGCACAATTTTTCTAGCGTTAATAGTTAAGCGTAATATTGAGAGAAATAAAAGCAATTTTTAACAAATACGAATATTCTCAAGAACGACGCCAATGTTTTTCTTTAAGATTTATGCTCAGAGTAAATTTTGTTTACCAAAATGACCTAATATTAATAATTGGTTCCATTTGCCATTACAAATTTTGAAAATTGGCGAAGTTCGTTTTTTCTACACGTTCGGTATAGAAGCTAGCGATGTCCTATAAAGATTCTCAATCTCAAATCGACTTTCTGTAATAATAAAACACAGGTACTATTTCCGCCGGTCCGTGAGAAAATTAGTTCATTTTTGATTATTGTTTTTTAATTTTTTTAAATCCTGGATAAGAGCAAAATTTGATTATAAATGTTATAATACAAGTTCTATTTGCATTAAAACCTGAGAACTTCTAGAAATTGCGAATTATCAAAAATTGTAAATTGGAATCACGCACAAAATTTTTTTGGAGAAGAGAATGTTTAACAATGTGGCTGAAGAATTAGTACGACATCATTTATAATATAATATTACAATCCGCTGCAAATAAAACGAGAAAGTATGTGATATCGTAGTATTACTAATTGATTTGGTTGTCTGGTCTAGAACTCTTCACAATTTGGAAAATTGGGTGACATGAACTGCAATAATGACGAACAACTAGAAAAACATACGAATATTTGGCTATCCAGGAACATCGTAGTTTAAGTTTAAGCATCTTCCGTAACCATTTGGGAACAGCATTAATGAATGCTATTCAGCGAACAAGATAATAGAGAAAGGGCTCTGAGGTACTCTTGGTATAACATTTGAAATATTAGTTCTGTGAACTTACTAATTCTCCATGAATTTTATCTTCATTCCGTGCAATAACTTTCAAACATTAGTGTGAAGAGTTTTTGTGGAGATCGCTGAAAGGCTAATTAACTCCTTTAAAAAAATGATGAAGTTGAAAACTCGGATGAAGTTGTAAGTTAATAATGGAAGTAAAGATGGGAGTAGTATCGCAGTTCGTTTGCTGTAAAAGGTATCGCTTATGTAATTATCCTACCGTTCGCACTGACCTTTGCAACGAAATGTGATGTTCAGTGGTAATCAGATTTCAGTCTTTGAACGTAACGTGATTTCAGTACTTTCAGATGGTTTGGGATGGAAACACAAGGTAAATGGCGAGAGCTAATGACGTTGAACTATCTCTTTAACTGAGGTGTGGGACTTCAGTACTAGCAAAACGCAACAAACTGCTGCTTGCTAGCTCGGAAAATTCGTTTATGATTTGATGGGTTCATCACGATGGATTCAGAATCTAAAATTATAATAGGCGCCCGATTTTAGAGCAGAAAACATGAAAGTTACAGTTCGTAATAAACCCATATGGTGGGTATCGTGGTGCATGGCAGTGGCGTCAGTGACAGCACAGCAGAGTCCGTGGGTCGACAGTTCCCGGCCGGAGAAAGTGAAAGGTAATCTTCCTGCTCGCGGCTGGCCGTTCTCTTGCCTCGGCCGCGGGCGACGCCGTGATGTGAGAGAATCTCAAGTGGGCCTCACAGCGCCTACGCTACACCCGCACCTCCGACCTCGCCGCGCTGCCACCGCCGTCGCGTCGCCCTCGTCGCAGCTCGCCCCGCCATTTCGCAGCCGCTCCCCAGACGCGACCCTGCCACTCCCTTGCCGCTCCACTACGCTCTCCTGCCGCTCCTGGTGCTCTCTCCAGCGCTTCCCCAGCGGCTCTCCAGCCGCTCCCCCACCGCCTCCAGACGCTCCCCAGCCGCTCCCCCGCCGCCCCCCCCCGCTTCCCCGCCCCCCCCCCCGCCCCCCCCGCCACTCCCCCCGTCGTCGCGCCGCAGCCGTTCCCCCCTCCGCCCCCAGCCGCTCCCTCGCCGCTTCCCCGCCACTCCCCAGTCGCTCTACCTCCCCCCCCACCCTCTCTCTACCCCGCTCTCTCTTCCCCGGTCCACCGCCGCTCCCACGTCAAGCCCATATGCCGCCGTTAAACGTTACATTACCCCGCTGCATCATATCGGCCTTAGCAACTTGTCTTCTCCGCGTCAGTACCTCGCCGCCCTTATCGCCATTAGGAATGCAATATAGAAGTCGATTTAAAAACATCGAAGTTTTTTTCTTTTAAATTTGAATGTTTTCCAAACATTGATGTTTTGATTAAATTGTCTATATCATCCAAGCAACATTTTTTGATGAAAATATTGATCTTTTAGCGTCGATTAAATGAGGTCAATGTTTTTTTTATAATCTATATTTTTCACTCGATTTTGTTGCGTTGTTTTATTTAAATGAAAAGAGCGTAACAAAAATTCTTTGTTTTCACATAGCAGTAAACTGCACATTATTTCCTAACAAAATAAACAAGGGTTAAGGTCTGTTTATGCGTTTTGTCAAAGTCTCGCTTGCGGATAAAAATTGCCATTTTTCTTGGGGACGCAAATTGTACTCAATTAGCGATGCATCATTATTGTCGATGTTTTCAGAAATTCTTTATTCACAAAATCGACAAATGTAATCTATTACTTTTGTGTACTTCAATAGAATAATAATAAAGATACAATTCTTACCATTTCTTACTTTGTCTTTCTCACTCAAATTAACACCCTCTCCCTGGTCGAACAACATTGTTTGAGGTTACTAAACCAGTTTTACTAGCATCGATGTTTTGAAACACATTTTGTTGGCGATTCTTCATTCCTGCAACCCACCACCGGCACTCCTCATTGCCCCTTCGCCTCCACTCCCCATTGATTCCTGGCTCCATCGCCTTGTTATCCTAAAGCTCCGTCCCCCTATCGCCTCATTAACACCATTGTAACGTTCGGCCCCGCGAATTACGTTTGTACCTCTTGTCCCAGCGCAAACTCCCTGCCCCCGCTGTTGGGTATGGGAGAAACTTCTGCATTCTCCATTAACGTCAGGGTGTCCCGCACACCACTACTGAGAGTTGGCAAATTCCAGACAACGTGCACCTACAGCTAAAAATAAAGTCATTTACATGTATTAACTCGAAATGTGTAATGTTTTTGTACGTTAGTCAAATGATGGACGCTATTCTACGACGAGCTCTTAATTATCAGTGAGAAAAGAGCGCAATTTGAATATGGAGTCATTGACAAATATTTGTGATTTGGTATTGCATAGAAGAATGCAATTCGTGAAGTAATGTGTCATTATGAATTCGTAAGAGGAAAAATAGAATTGGCAAATTAATTTTTTTAAAGATTTCGGAAAACATTACGA